ATAATGTACTGTCAGTTAACATTATGTACCGGAAGTTTATATAATGTACTGTCAGTTAACATTATGTACCGGAAGTTTATATAATGTACTGTCAGTTAACATTATGTACCGGAAGTTTATATAATGTACTGTCAGTTAACATTATGTACCGGAAGTTTATATAATGTACTGTCAGTTAACATTATGTACCGGAAGTTTATATAATGTACTGTCAGTTAACATTATGTACCGGAAGTTTATATAATGTACTGTCAGTTAACATTATGTACCGGAAGTTTATATAATGTACTGTCAGTTAACATTATGTACCGGAAGTTTATATAATGTACTGTCAGTTAACATTATGTACCGGAAGTTTATATAATGTACTGTCAGTTAACATTATGTACCGGAAGTTTATATAATGTACTGTCAGTTAACATTATGTACCGGAAGTTTATATAATGTACTGTCAGTTAACATTATGTACCGGAAGTTTATATAATGTACTGTCAGTTAACATTATGTACCGGAAGTTTATATAATGTACTGTCAGTTAACATTATGTACCGGAAGTTTATATAATGTACTGTCAGTTAACATTATGTACCGGAAGTTTATATAATGTACTGTCAGTTAACATTATGTACCGGAAGTTTATATAATGTACTGTCAGTTAACATTATGTACCGGAAGTTTATATAATGTACTGTCAGTTAACATTATGTACCGGAAGTTTATATAATGTACTGTCAGTTAACATTATGTACCGGAAGTTTATATAATGTACTGTCAGTTAACATTATGTACCGGAAGTTTATATAATGTACTGTCAGTTAACATTATGTACCGGAAGTTTATATAATGTACTGTCAGTTAACATTATGTACCGGAAGTTTATATAATGTACTGTCAGTTAACATTATGTACCGGAAGTTTATATAATGTACTGTCAGTTAACATTATGTACCGGAAGTTTATATAATGTACTGTCAGTTAACATTATGTACCGGAAGTTTATATAATGTACTGTCAGTTAACATTATGTACCGGAAGTTTATATAATGTACTGTCAGTTAACATTATGTACCGGAAGTTTATATAATGTACTGTCAGTTAACATTATGTACCGGAAGTTTATATAATGTACTGTCAGTTAACATTATGTACCGGAAGTTTATATAATGTACTGTCAGTTAACATTATGTACCGGAAGTTTATATAATGTACTGTCAGTTAACATTATGTACCGGAAGTTTATATAATGTACTGTCAGTTAACATTATGTACCGGAAGTTTATATAATGTACTGTCAGTTAACATTATGTACCGGAAGTTTATATAATGTACTGTCAGTTAACATTATGTACCGGAAGTTTATATAATGTACTGTCAGTTAACATTATGTACCGGAAGTTTATATAATGTACTGTCAGTTAACATTATGTACCGGAAGTTTATATAATGTACTGTCAGTTAACATTATGTACCGGAAGTTTATATAATGTACTGTCAGTTAACATTATGTACCGGAAGTTTATATAATGTACTGTCAGTTAACATTATGTACCGGAAGTTTATATAATGTACTGTCAGTTAACATTATGTACCGGAAGTTTATATAATGTACTGTCAGTTAACATTATGTACCGGAAGTTTATATAATGTACTGTCAGTTAACATTATGTACCGGAAGTTTATATAATGTACTGTCAGTTAACATTATGTACCGGAAGTTTATATAATGTACTGTCAGTTAACATTATGTACCGGAAGTTTATATAATGTACTGTCAGTTAACATTATGTACCGGAAGTTTATATAATGTACTGTCAGTTAACATTATGTACCGGAAGTTTATATAATGTACTGTCAGTTAACATTATGTACCGGAAGTTTATATAATGTACTGTCAGTTAACATTATGTACCGGAAGTTTATATAATGTACTGTCAGTTAACATTATGTACCGGAAGTTTATATAATGTACTGTCAGTTAACATTATGTACCGGAAGTTTATATAATGTACTGTCAGTTAACATTATGTACCGGAAGTTTATAAAAACGTACTGTCAGTTTAAACAACATGACGGTCAGTTTACATAGCTTACTGTCAGTTTACATACACACTGTAAATTTGTGTAGCATATATATACTGTCAGTTTTGTATAAGATGCTGTCAATTTACATTTACATGTTATGGTCAGTTTGTATTGCCAATGAATTGTCCATTTACATAACATACCGTCAGTTTACATGATATTTATACTGTCAATTTACATGATATTTATACTGTCAATTTACACAATATACTGTCAGTATTCTGTAAACCATCAGTAAAATTATAATGTCCTGGTATAACAGGAGAATCAGACAACATACAGGTGTTACTGGGGCCTCCATTACATGACCTAATCCTATTTAATCTACAATACATAGGCTCGGCCCATCAACTGGTCTACCAAAGATGTGACGCTTAGAAATGTCTTGTAGAGTATATATACCGTTATTCCAACAAACTTCAGTCCTAGTTCTAAAACATCCCAAGTCTTTCTCCGTCAGAACAGTGGTGCATTCTAATTAAAAGATCGAAAGCGTCCCAGTCCCTAACCTACTGCAGATGTTCTGTTTTACCTCTTCAGGTTATTTCTGTACCTAGCACCATTCTCTCACACTTAATCTGTAATTAGTTTTGTCACTGGTGTCTGAGACCACTACTGTAAAACATGAGGTAACACAACAGTGTTGTACATCCCTACATATCCTCATCAGCTATCGTATACACGCTTTAATAGGCAGTTCGGAATATTTCCTGTAAATTATACCTGATTTTAAGTAAAAGACCTACTGTGAGATCGGCAGACATTCACCAACCTTCCTCACTATCGACTATTGGAGCATCTCTCTAAATATTTCAACAGATCAGGTAAAACGTTAACATAATAGCACAGTCACATAAACATCTGTTTCTCTCCATCATTCCGAGGTCTGCTCGTGCACCACACATGCATTACATGGTCCAACAATGGTGGGAGATGATGTTCACTGAAGTGCTCTTTGGCAAACAGATGTGTTGATGTGTTTGGTGAAGCTCTAGGAAATCTTTCAGGAGAATGAGGAACTGTGTAGAAATTAGATGTGTCTGAAACCTTGATCACACAACCTGGTAGATAAAGTGTGGTCAACTACATTTTATATGTGTTTGTGGCCTATACAGAAGAGTATTATACCTCCATCCTCCTTTTGGGTTGAGATAGAACAAGGGACCTGATGAAGTGATTTTTCATGACTTCAGGCTGTTTGGTTCTCCAAAAGAATTATTTTGATTGTTTCAACAAATTTGACCCCTACGACTTTGAATATGAGTCAAGGTCTTATCTTTTCTCAAACTTTCTAGCAATCTTATTTAGCAAGCATAGAACTGGGAAAATATCTAATTTACCAGGTCCTTATAACCTTGAATATGGGTCAAGGTCACATTTTTCACCAACTTTTCAACCCCCTTCCCCCTCCCCAAAAGTGATCTCTCAATAGGAAGACACCTGTTGAAGGTAAGAGAAAGTCTGATACTAACACTAAACATGTTTCTGTGTTAGTTGATTGTAGGACGTCTGACCCCCTACAAGTATCTGTGCTTGTATAAACTATAACGACTGCCCTACTATCGTCATAGATGATGCATGGGAGCTGTTACAACTGCTATTTTACAATCATCATTGAGAACCACTATCTTTCCAGTTATACATTTCCATTAGTTTTTATCCTACTGCTACAAGGATCTCTGTTCTATGCTGAACTGGGAGGGTCAAATGAAACAGCAACGAAGTGTTATCCTATCACCCTGTAAATTTTATCTTCTCTCTAATATGTTTTTAACAAATTAATTGTCTGTACAATTACATAATATTATAAACTGACAGTGATGATGCTACTGGGGTCTAAGTCATGATCAAGTTGAGAGATTGGTGCTGTGGTGAAAAGATAAAACTCTCAAAGATAAAGTATGAGTCCCAAGGTCATCATTACTTATATGTACAGAGCACCACAAGGTGGATATATACACCTTGTCTGATTGTAACACTCCTCAATGTGTTAATCACTGATCTATTACTCATGTCATCTATCCCCTCAATCCTGTCACTGACATCACTTCAGCCTCATTTCAGAGTCCACCCTCCTTTTTGAGATCATTTCATCAACCCAACCCCTCACTAACAATATTTCACTGTCTCCTCCCTCTCCTTACTTAGATAATTTCAGAATCCCCTCACCCACAGCAGTCCCCATCATCCTCACTAACATCACGTCAGCATCCATTTGACCCTCACACTTTTATGACTTTTTGACTATCAGATTCTGCCATTGTAAGACAATTCAACCTTCTCTCTTTCCTTCCAGATCACTTCTTTATCACTCTGTTTCGTACTGTTATCACTTGAATGTATAAAAGAACTTCTGTTTTACTTTCACTTGCATATAAAACTGTAACAAGTTGATTACGATTTTACATTTTTGGATTTCCATCCATACATACACCTTACAATGCAATGTTGCTGGTTTTTTCTTCAAAATAGGCCATTTCAGTGGAATGTTATGTCCTCAGTTATATTGACAGTGTCCTGAGTAACCAGAAAAGTTCAAATAAATGGCCAGCCCTCTATAGATCAACTATAAACTAGTTGAAGGTTAGCTGTTGCAAAGTCGAAACCTTTGTTAAATCCATGTATCTGTGACTACATCTAACCAGTATAAATTGACGTTTCACCGTCATTGACTATCATCAATAAAGTCTACACTCTATACTGTCTACAGAGAATCCCCGAAAAGACATGGACGTTACGTAACTTCTGACTGCTGAGCAATTTGACATGAAAACCTTGGTGATTACCTGCAGTAGTCGGTAAGGACCATGTATAATATATCACTGTTATGTACAGTTTGTAACAACACAACTTACACAGACATGCATATCCTGCATGTGAGGTATGAATGTGTAGGATTCCCAGTGTTTCAGACTTACCCAGCCGTGTAGGCAATGGTCCCGGAGTTAGGGTCACATGCAAATGAAGCATTACTAGCCGAGGTCAGACCCAGTACCCTCTCAAGGGTCACCTGCAAATACACAATTACATAAATTGATTCATTCCTTTCACCAGTAATTACACAATTATGTAAGGTACTACATCTGTTCACCCCTAAATACACAATATATTTTTACAAATTTTTTTGGATACATCTACTGTAGCAGGAAAAGCATTTCAATAACAGTACTAGTGTTTCCTCCAGAGTGAGGTATCTTATAATCCCGATCTAAAATTTGACATTCTGTCTATACAATACAATAAACATCTTTATTCAAATCTTGAAAAAAAAATGCATAGCTTTCAGTGTATCTACTGTAATATCCTTGACACAAACACATTACATCATTGGTTCATATTTTCTAATGAAACTACTACAATGGTGAACAAGAGTATGCCATATAGTGTTATATAACTTTCTTACATTGAAATAAGATCTGCATCATTCCAAGAGTGGTTAGCTGATATGCTTTAAAAAATGTAGGAGAAAATCTTCAGACAAAAAATCAAATACTGAAATGAACAAAAGGCAAAAATTTGCAAAAATCGTTGAACCAAAATTCTTTTGAGGGAGACACAATTTCATACCATGATTATAAAGTATACCAAGTTTCAAAGAGATACGTTGAAAAATGTAGGAGATTTCCGGACAAAATTCAAATACTGAAATGAATATAGGGCAATAACTTTTGGAAAAATTGTCGAATCAAAATTCTTTTAGGGGAGACACAACTTCATATCATGATTAATGTATACCAAGTTTCAAAAAGATCGGTCAAAAAATGTAGGAGGAGATTGCCGGAAGAACAAAGTTTACGCCGGACGGACGGACGGACAACGCCATACCATAATACTACCGTCAAATTTGACAGTCGTATAAAAACTATATGTTAAGTATACAATTCATGATATTATATTACTACAATTTATTTATTCATAACTGAGTATAAATAAATGGTAGAAAGACTTTGTGACTTAATCTGTCTGTCAATACAGATCAGTGAGAGCTAGGCCTCAGACTGTCGGAGTTATGACGGAGTTATGACGGAGTTAGAGGTCATGTATTGCCAGGTGTGTCGTAGATCAACAATCAGGTTTTTGTTTATTGTTTATTGATCTTCCTTGATCCTCTGCATTTATCCTTATAGTAATAAAGTAATTATCAAACCCTACAGCGACTTGTAATACCGTCTTACATGATATTTGGAGAATCTTTTTACTGTACATAGTAGTAAAATTTGTATAACTGCTTGTGCACAAGACAAACCACTTTACATTTCTACTGAATAACTATTATTTATGTGTGCAAAAGAATCCATTCACACTTCTACTAGGTAATAAATAGTGTACAAAAGAATCCATTCACACTTCTACTAGGTAATTACTAGTGTACAAAAGAATCCATTTACACTTCTACTAGGTAATTACTAGTGTACAAGATAATTCATTCATACTTCTACTAGGTAATCACTAGTGTACAAGAGAATCCATTTACACTTCTACTAGGTAATTACTAGTGTACAAGAGAATCCATTCACATTTCTACTGGGTAATTACTAGTGTACAAAAGAATCCATTCACACTTCTACTAGGTAATCACTAGTGTACAAGATAATCCATTCACACTTTTACTGGGTAATTACTAGTGTACAAGAGAATCCATTCACACTTCTACTGGGTAATTACTAGTGTACAATAGAATCCATTCACATTTCTACTGGGTAATTACTAGGGTACAAAAGAATCCATTCACCCTTCTACTAGGTTATTACTAGTGTACAAGAGAATCCATGCACACTTCTACTGGGTAATTAATAGTGTACAAAAGAATCCATTCCCCCTTCTACTGGGTAATTACTAGGGTACAAAAGAATCCATTCACGCTTCTACTAGGTTATTACTAGTGTACAAAAGAATCCATTCACACTTCTACTGGGTAACTGTACTTTTTTAAAATACACATCAGCATTTTCCAATTACCAAGCATAAGTTCCATCCTCTACATGTTTAAGTATCTGTATCTTGTATAACTAATATACATGTATCAGGATGTTTCATAATTCTGATGCTGCACGAGAGAGTATTAAGCTACAATAGGGCGTTACAACAGCTTGGTAGGCATGTTTGTATGGTAGGTTTTAAATCTGTACTGCACTCTAAAGCTGTTACCTGACGTTACCTGATGTGTATGTAACAGCTACAAATTGCATGCTAATAATACTACTTTCTTCTCATGGTCTGAAATGAATTACCTTAAACATCCTAAAAATTACTGTTTTCACATTTAGTTTGCAATATTATTCAATAAAACAGCTACATGCCGAGCAGATTAAACAGAATGAAATAGAATTAAACCCTCCATCTGGCTACCCCCATTGTCTACAAACTAAGCTGGGGGAACTAGACAATAGAAGGGGTATGGTGGACAGGCATGAGGAGGGAATCTTTATTGATTTAGAAGATCCACATCTCTTTTGTGATACTACCAACTGGTTTAAGAAAGTCTGTATACATTACAGCCTAACTAGGCCCCATCAACACAGCTACCCAGGCGAATCTACTTTCAGTTCAATTATAAGCAATGCATTCCTATTGAAGTGTGCAGCATCTAACATATCATCTTTACTTTATAGCTATATAGAAATGTTATTATTAACAGAAGCTGACATCAAAGTAACTTTCATTTTAACCAACAGTGTTATGAAGTAAACAACATCAACAACAGTTACAGTACAGTACTAAAGTTACAGCTGTCTTTACATGTTTTAAAGTAAATTCAATAAGCAACTTTTAGGTTAGACAAGCAAATACACCATATAGACATCTTCTCGTTATAAACCAATAGACACCTCCTCATGTTAGACCAAGCTTAAGACACATCCTCATGTTAGACTAATAGACATCACCTCAAGTTAGACCAATAGACACCTCCTCGTGTTGGACCAATAGAAACCTCCTCCTGTTAGACCAATAGACACCACCTCCTGTTAGACCAATAGACACCTCCTCATGTTATACCAATAGACATCACCTCAAGTTATACCAATAGACACCTCCTCGTGTTGGACCAATAGACACCACCTCAAGTTATACCAATAGACACCTCCTCGTGTTGGACCAATAGACACCTCCTCGTGTTGGACCAACAGAAACCTCCTCCTGTTAGACCAATAGAAACCTCCTCCTGTTAGACCAATAGACACCTCCTCATGTTAGACCAATAGACACCTCCTCGTGTTGGACCAATAGACACCACCTCACCTTAGACCAATAGACACCTCCTCGTGTTGGACCAATAGACACCTCCTCATGTTAGACCAATAGACACCTCCTCATGTTGGACCAATAGACACCTCCTCATGTTAGACCGATAGACACCTCCTCCTGTTAGACCAATAGACACCTCTTCCTGTTAGACCAATTGACACCACCTTAAGTTAGACCAATAGACACCTCCTCGTGTTGGACCAATAGACACCTCCTC